TTCGAGAAAAATGGAAGAATAGATGAGACGGGAGAAAGAGACTACATAGCAGGTACACTTCAGTCTGGAGAACACAAAGTGGTCATTGCAGTGATGTATAATCCACCACAGAACTGCAGGAGGTAAAGAGAGGAATATGAAGAGAGCTACGAGCAATGGTGGACACACTTGCTGAGGTGGAAAGGGAAGAGCTCACTCAGCAGAGCAAAGTTGTGGTTAGGGGGGGATTTCAACCACAGGAGATTGACTGGGAAAACCTGGAGCCACAGGGGGGGTCCCGAAACATGGAGACCCAAAGATGATGGATGTGGTATGGAAAACCTCATGCACCCAAATGTTAAGGAAAACTACAGAGTGAGAGGGGGAGGATGAACCAGCAAGATTGGACCTTGTGTTCACCCTGGGCAGCTCAGACATTGAGGACATCAAGTATGAGAGTCCCCTGGAGCTAGTGACCACGTGGTTCTGTGCTTTGAATAAATAGTAGAGCTGCAAGTGGAGAGAATAACAGGAGTTAGAATGGGAAAAGCCTGACTATAAAAGAGGGGACTACATGGGGTTGAAGAACTTCCTGCGGGAGGTCCAGTGGGACAGAGAACTGCGGGGGAAAGCCATTTAAATGAAATGATGGAATATTGTAGCAACAAAAGGGAAAGGGAGGCAGTGGAAAGGTTCATTCCCAAGGGCAACAGTAACAACGGGAAGACCAGACAAGCCCCTGGTTTACCCGAGGGTTTGTAAGGAGGCAAAAACCAAAGTGCAATAGAGAAGGAAAAAGTCAGAAGGCAGAGAACACACGAAATAGGGAGATCAGTCGCAGACCCAGGAATGAGTACGCACAGGTAAGGAGGGAGGCCAGTGACAGTATGAAAATGACATAGCATCGGAATCAAGACTGACCGAAACTGTTGTATAGCACATCAGGAGGAAGCAGTCAAAGACCAGGTGATCAGATTAAGGACAAAAGGTGGAGAACTCACAAGAAATGTCAGGAGGTATGTGAGGAGTGAACAGGAGATTTAAGGAATTTTTTTACAGTAGAGACAGGAAGGGCTGTGGGAAAGACAGCACAGAAGGGGAACATCAAGAGGGAATATACCAACAAGTGTTGGATGACATACGAAAACTGGGAGGAGGTGAAGAAGCTCTTAAGTGACCTTGACACCTCAAAGGCGATGGGACTGGACATCCCCCCATGGGTCCTTAGAGAAGGAGCAGAGATGTGTGTGTGCCTCTAACCACAATCTTCAACACATCCCTTGAAACTGGGCAACTACCTGAGAAATGGAAGACAGCTAATGTAGTCCCCATATTTAAGAAAGGAAACAGAAACGAGGCACTAAACTACAGACCTGTGTCTCTGCATGTATTGTGTGCAAAGTCATGGAGAAGATTATCAGGAGGAGAGTGGTCGAACACCTGGAAAGGAACAAGATTTTAAATGAAAACCAGCATGGGTTCATGGAAGGCAAAATCTTGTATCACAAACCTCCTGGAGTTTTATGACAGGTAACAGAAGTAAGACACGAGAGAGAGGGTTGGGTAGATTGCGTTTTCCTAGGACTGCAGGAAGGCCTTTTGACACAGTTCCCCACAAGAGATTAGTGCAGAAGCTGGAGGATCAGACACACCCTAAAAGGAAGGGGGACTGCAATGGATAAGGGAATACCTGCAGGGAGGCAGCAACGAGTCTGGTTTCGTGAAGATGGGATCACAGTGGGCGCTGTTACGGGGCGGGGTCCCACAGGGGTCAGTTCTAGGACCAGTGCTATTTTTTAATATGTGAACGACATGATGGAAAAAAACAGACTCTGAAGTGTCCCTGTTCGCAGATGACGTGAAGTTTATGAGAAGGAAATTTAAAACGGACGAGGATGAGGCAGGACTGCAAAGAGACCTGGAGAGGCTGGACATGTGGGTCCAGTAACTGGCTTTTCGAATTAATCCAGCCAAATGCAAAGTCATGAAGATTGGGGAGGGACAAAGAAGATCACAGACAGGGGGTATAGGCTAGGTGGACAAAGACTACAGACCTCACTCAGGGAGAAAGACCTTGGGGTGACCATAACACCGAGCACATCACCGGAGGCACACATCAACCAAATAACCGCTGCAGCATACGGGCGCCTGGCAAACCTGAGAATTTGCGTTCCGATTCCTTAAAAAGGAATCGTTCAAGAAAACTGTACACTGTGTATGTTAGGCCCCTATGGGTATGCAGCACCAGTCTGGAACCCACACCTGGTCAAGCACGTCAAGAAGTTAGAGAAGTACAAAAGGTTTTCAACAAGGCTAGTCCCAGGGGCTCAAGGGAATGTCGTACGAGGAAAGGTTAAGGGAAATCGGAACTGACGACACTGGAGGACAGAAGGGTCAGGGGAGACATGATAACGACTACAAAGATACTGCGGGGAATAGGGCAATGTGGACAGAGATAGGATGTTCCAGAGAGGGGACACAGGGACAAGGGGTCACAACTGGAAGCTGAAGACTCAGACGAGTCACAGGGACGTTAGGAAGTATTTCTTCAGTCATAGAGTTGTCAGCAAGTGGAATAGCCTAGCAAGTGAAGTAGTGGAGGCAGGAACCATACATAGTTTTAAGAAGAGGTATGACAAAGCTCAGGAAGCAGAGAGAGAGAGGATCCAGTAGCGATCAGTGAAGAGGCGGGGCCAGGAGCTGAGTATCGACCCCTGCAACCACAATTAGGTGAGTACAATTAGGTGAGTACACACACACACATGCATACATGTTTACCTGGAGTTTATCTGGAGAGAGTTCCGGGGGTCAACGCCCCCGCGGCCCGGTCTGTGACCAGGCCTCCTGGTGGATCAGAGCCTGATCAACCAGGCTGTTACTGCTGGCTGCATGTGGTAATGCTTTATTTACAGCTAGCAAAGTCAGGGTATTTCTCCAGAATGGTCTGTAATATACCACTGTGGATGAAATACTTAGCCATTTCTTGAACACTTCTGAGTGAGTTGTTTCTAAATTCATTAATTTTATCGCACTCCAGTACATAATGACGCAAGGTGTGACAATAGTCCATCTGGCAAAGTTTACATTTCGTTTGGTCTACATCTGGGGGTGGTGATTTAACTTGCCAAAGATACTTGTAACCCAGCCGGAGCCGGGCAGTAGTGACATCCAAGAGTCTGCTTATTTTGTTGGGTGCACCATAGACATGTGGCTCCTCCGCATGATGAATGATGATAGATGGACTCACTGGTGTCAATCTCCCTGAGCCCTTTAAATCCATAAAATTCAGTTGAAGTTCTTTTCGTTTATTGTTCTCAAAAATATACATGACAAGCCAAGATTGTAATCTACTCCCTCTTTTAAAGCATACGCTTAGCCAATTTATCAGTTCTATCATGCATTGAAGACCAATGTGAGATGGAATCCACAGCATGTGCACTCTGACTCCACTGTCCACAATCTTACCATACCTGTGTCTGGCTTCTGACACAAGCATGCCAAAAATTTATGCTTAATGAGTTGAGAGCATTTATGGATGACAGAGAATCAGTTACAATTAAACTGTCAATCTTTGATACATAGATGCATTTCAGTGCAAGGAGTATGGCAAACAGTTCTGTCTGAAGGGTAGAGGCCCAATTATTGATGCGTGCTCCAATTTCTTTAAGAGAGCCATCACTCTGTACGACAACAGCAGCACTACCAGCTGCACCAGAGGATTGGTGAACAGAACCATCAGCGTAAATAATTTGCGAGAGTGTGTGCTGTGTGACTAAGTTATCAATATAGGTGTCGCTGGACGATTGTGATGTGTGTATAGCTATTTTGTGTTGCGTGTTTGTAGAATGCGCTGAGACTATAATGAAACATAAAAGTGTAGTGGACACCATGTCGACAGAACCCATATGGGGACAGCCAATAAACTTACACTTAACAATGGCAAAACCTACTATATTATGTTTGGTAGCAGAGCAGGTGTTGCGCAACTTAACATTAAGATCGACAACACTCTAATTGCCAGACATTATGAGGGCAAATCCCTTGGCCTATACCTCGACAACAACCTAAATTTCAGCACCCATATCCAACACATAACAAAAAAAAGTATCCAAAACGGTGGGGATCCTTTCCGAGATACGATACTACGTGCCGCAAACTGCCCTTCTCACACTATACCATTTATTTATTTATTTAATAATTTGACATTACAGAGGTACAAAAAATACAGGTAAGAGCAGCACGCCAAAGCCACTTGTATGCATAGCATTACGGGCTGGCTTAAAATTAACTTAAGATTAACTAAGCAATGATGTAATCAGTGTTAAAACATTATTATAAACAGATAACAATAAAACACAAATGAGTATTACAAAGACAGGTCATATGGTTGCTTGCATTGCTGTACATTCAGTAGAATGGAGTATTCTGTTAGGTAGTGTATTTAAAAATACAAAGTTAGATTGGGTCTTAGGTTTTTACTTTTGTGATTAATTTTGAGAAACATTTAAGATATACAATTTATAAGGTTCAGTTATTCAGTATTTTTTTGATTTGGGTGAGTAAAGTGGTCTTTGAGAAAGACTGAATTTATAAAGGTAGTGTTTCTTTTATATTTCAGGTAATGATTTCCGATTTTAGGGTTTTGTGCATTGAGTTTTTGCAAGCGTGAGATGGACACGAGAAAACAAGAGTGATCTGTGCCCTTTTGTTTTGGTCATGTGTTCTGTGAGTTGGCAAAGGGGAAAGTTTGAGGGGGGGTTAATATCAGGTTAAGTGTTCTATGTAAAGTAATGTATGTATATATCCATACCTCACTATGTATCTGTGCTTGGGGTTCAAATGCAGAACACACTAAGCAAAATTTACCAACAAAAGCGCAGTAAGAATAATTACTAATCCCATCCCTGGCAACACCCCCCCACTCTTCATAGTCTAAACTTACTCCTGTTCAAAACATCCACACTTACTACTGTGCAATTATATCTCAGGACCAAAATTCCATATTAACTTGACCTAAACGCTTTCTTGATAGTTGTGACAGGATCCACAGGCATAACACCAGACACAAACATTCCCCGTGTTCGACTAAACCTTTACAAAAATTCAATGTATTTCAAAGGACCTAAAATCTGGAACACCCTACCTGAAAACTCTAGAACTGCAGACACATTTATCACTTTCAAAACTACAGTTAGAAAACATCTTATCTCCCTGATCCACCCCGACAACTAACTACATGATAACCACCTGGTGGTTCACAATTACACTCACTCATGCACTGACTATAAACCCAGAAATACTAATCTTAATCTTAAAATAATAAATCCTAACTAGTCATAAGTTTGCCTATGATACTCCAATATAGACACTTTGTATTGTGCCAAAACAAAAGCATTCACATTGCTAAACTCACAAATTATGATGTAGTCACTTAGCCTTAATACTGTAATCTGTAAGGATTTAATGTTAAGAATTAATCTAAGTCTGCTGGAAATGCCTATCCATGCTAGGTGTCCTAGTGGCCCCCTCTGTAATTAGTATTTATAACATGTAAACCACAAAATACCCAAAACCTGTAAACCCCACATTGTAACCATTATAGAGAATAAACTTGAATTGAATTGAATTGAACTGAATATTTCTATCTCTGAGATCAGAAATGTTCAAGAAATGGCAAAGTATTTTATCCACAGTGGTATATTACAGACCATTTTGGAGAAATACCCTGACTTTGCTACCTGTAAATAATTACCACATGTGTGTGTGTGTGTGTGTGTGTGTGTGTGTGTGTGTGTGTGTGTGTGTGTGTGTGTGTGTGTGTGTGTGTGTGTGTGTAGGCGTGTGTGTGTGTGGGCGTGTGTGTGTGTGTGTGTGTGCGTACTTGTGTGTGTGGGCGTGCGTACTTGTGTGTATGCACATATTTGTACGCTCGTGTGCTTGTGTCTGTGCGTGCGCCCTCCTGTGTGTATGTGTGCGCACGCGCGTTCGTGTGGGTGTATGACCCACTTAATATTTGCATTTATAACTCATTACAATTGTGACCAGGTGTGGACGTGTCAGTGGCTCATTACTTTGTAACTTGTTCATGATTGTAACCATGTATAGGAGTGAGGATGATTCATTACCTCTGTAACTTGCCATGATTGTGACCAGATCTACCTGGAGTTCATTACCTTTGTAACTAGTTCAGCTATCATAACTTTGGTGTCCAGTCCCTGGACCCATTATGTACCTATGTAATCTTTTGACTGCCACCCACAGGATGGGTATGGGGTGCATAATAAATATATTAAACTAACTGAGATCTGATAAAGATCTCAGACGGAGATCAAAACAAACAAGTCTCTTTTTACACTGCGTCTGTCTCCACGTGGGTTCCCGTGATTCACAAAGCAACAGTGTAGACAATTTTGGGTCAGAGGGCATGATCAGTAGTCGAGGCACGAGTGTGAGGGTACCAGAGGCACCATTAATAGGCTGTTATTGCTTAGCACTCTTAAATGTTTTCATGTTTTTCAGTGGTGCTTGTGGTAAACATCTGTCCGCACGTCTTCCTATAAAAATTGCCGTAAACACCTTCCTGCAAATCTTAGCGTTACCTTGCCATTGTGCCATCATGCTTCACCTTGATCAAATTATCTCATTACATCATTAAGGCAAAAGGTGGCCAGGTTTTTGAGCAAAAATTTTTTTTTGCATTTTAACTTCGGTCTTTTAAGTAGGAACATTTTTTTTTTTGAAACCAGATTAAGAGCCCTTTACCTGCATCAAAGTCCCCCCTCTTCCCCCTGAATGATTCAGAAAACCTACAGCCTATCTAGTACACGCGACGGTCCTTAGAGGGAGGGGCCTTGACGCCGGTGAAGGGCTCTTGATCTAAAGAAATGGAGCTAGCGTTCCTATCCTTGGATAGAATCTGATTGTTTATATTCCCAGAGGTACTATATGACCCCTATATGCTTAGCGCTCTCACAAAATAACTGTACCACACGAGGATCACCCCTAATGTTTAACCCCTAAATTAGTAATTAAAGTAAATTTTTCATGCAGTTACAAAGACAGATGTGTCGGTGTACAATCCCTGTGATCACTCAGATTAATGAATGCCAATGCAATAAAGAAAAATATAAGCACATGTAAGGCTTATAATGGGTCCAGGAAGCCTCTCTAATGTTTTAACTACCGCCCACAGTATAAGTAAGGGGTGTATAATAAAAATATTAAACTAACTTAACCACTTTAGTGTTCTTGACATACAGTTGTCTGCATTATGTTCATCATTAAAACATCTGTCAAGTACACTTTATTTGAATAGAAAATGTAACAATGACTTTAGCAGCATGGGATACTATGTAAGTAGCTAGGTAAGTACAATTACACAAGTTTTGGGTGATAACAATGGTCTTAAATAGTAAAATACGTGTAAATTAATTAAGGTAACCCTAAAATCAGGTAAAATGACTTATTTCCACTAGGGTCATTGAAATATCTTATTACTTTCAGCCTAACTATTAGATACAGTAGAAATCAGTCATGCTTATACCCTTAAAAATTAAATAAACTAAGCAACTCAACTGTGTGAAAATCACTTAAAATAAAAGGAGATACAATAATAATAATAAAGTAAACTGAGTAATTTACATGAACATTAAATATAATGTTAACTACACAAGAAATCACTTTCTCCTTTTCTACAATTTCATTCATTAGGAACCTTTTAATTCTCTTCCTGAACTTGTTATTACAAAATTGTGTTCACTTTCCCCAGTAACATACTGGTTTTGGTTTTAGTTCTGACTTCGTTTTCATGAATATAACCGTTCACTGGTTTGTTGTTACAAAAATATGTACTTAATTTGTATTATCGCTGACCTTAATAAACCACAATTTCTGTTTATTATAAAGCTACGAGATATGCTATTTGTTGGCAGTTACTCCTGGGAGAGCACACAGCATTTCGAAGAGCAGGTTAGCGCCAGTAAGAGCAGTCGTTCCTTCGAAGTCATATGGAGGAGATATCTGAAACAGCGTAATACATGCAGAACAACCATTGTGAAAAAATAGTGAAATCCCAAGCGTTTTCGTGATTTCTCACATTATCATGGAGCTATAGTTCCTTGATAAAGTGAAAAGTGAAATTCCAAGCGCTTTCCTTGATAACGTGAGAAGTCACGAAAGCACTTAGAATTTCGCTATTGTTTCACAGTGGCTGTTCTGCATATTGTGATATCACCTATTTACTGTGATCTTATTGCAGCGTGATACATATATAATTTAATCTTGATATTTCACAACAAAATTAAAGTATATATCAGGGAAACTACACCACCATTAATAAATTCTTGGGACGTGATTTAAAAACAGCTACCATCCCCTACTTCAGATCAAATTGAATTACCTCCCTTTTCCCAGTACTAGACACTTACGGGTTTAGCACTATGTCCCCAATATAATAATTTTTACTACAGGGCTAACGGAGATTTATGTAAGTAATTATTACATGAAGTTTGATGTCTGTGCCATTGCATTTCTATTCAACCTTTTATGAAACTGAACCTAGACATTCTAACCCGAAGGCGATTTGAAACGTCTCCAATGTCAGAACTCAGCACTTCCATCAGGAAAAACTAGGTCGCTATCAGTCTACTGGAGGAACCAGTTTTCATCGATTACCGGACCTTACTGAACATGACTGACAATGTCCCAGATGGCTTCTCTAACGTTGCAGTAGGTTACAAACTGCCTTTACTAAAACCAACACTATGCTCCCGCTGACGGTCCCTCAATGTTATGTCAGATTAGACAACCTTTCTAATTGTTCCAATTTCTAATTTATCACTGGACTATGTAGAGCATCTTTAATTTATCACTGGACTAGGCAGTCGATCAACACTTAGTGAACTTCCTCGGAATAACAGGTATGTACAGCTATATTCTCCACCCGGAGACTCACCTCCACCAGGTCGCATCCTACTAAGTTAAGTCCCCGACATCCTCGTATAATCTCCAGCGCCTGTATGGAAGTCAGCCCTCCAATTTCTGGAGCACCTGCAATCCAACAGGGTTTTTGTTAGTTTTAGACATTTATTAATGCAATGTAATTGATAGCCTATTATCTGTCGTTATCAATATCATGTATATATCTCAATTCAATTTTTTAACTAGAGGTTTGGTAAGTTGGGGGAGGAAGAAGGCTGGGGAGGGATAAAATATGAAAGAGGGGTTGGTGGGGGGTGAGGAGAGGGTTTAATAAAGGTAAGTGGCCCAACCACTTTGGCGCACATTAATATAGGTGTATGTGTGTTGTGTTATGCATAGTAACCAGATGATTGTGTATACAACACCACCGATCAGACACACACTTGTATTAGAGATGCATACGTGCGTTGCAGTGAACTGGTGGGTATAGTTTTGCATTTTTTTTTTTTTGCGCATGAGGCAAGTTGCTCGGGCTGGTTGTAAGGCGCTTGCTGGAGCTGGTGGTCGGCTGATGTGGTCGGCGTGTGTTCCCAACTTGTGGTTTTAAACCACGACGCTCTGTACGAGTACCAGAATGGTCAACTTACCAGTGCCAGGACAGAAGCCAGGATCAATACCATCAATATCAAAGGAGAGGTAGACTGGTTTGTCACCCATCTTGGCTCTCACCTCCTCCATGAGTGGCACCAGAGACTTGTGCCAGCACTCCTCAGCTGATACTACGCGAAAACCCTGCCAGTTTTTTGAGTTTTAGATCAATGCATTAGATTCTGATTTAGTTTATGAAGAGCAGTTAGTAAATGCTACAACTAAAGGAAGTTACTAGGTCGCTACTAGGTCACTCTCCCTGAACCGTTAGCTTTATCATACCTCTGTTTAAAACATATTGTGCTCACCAGGGCTCGAACCTGGGACCTTCTGTATGTTAGATGTGATAACCAATACACAATGAGCACGTGTGTGTGTGTGTGTGTGTGTGTGTGTGTACGGTAAGATTATTATTGAAAGAATTAGAGGTAAAGCAGAGAGTAGGACTGCAGATGAGCAAGGAGGTTTCAGAGTGGGTAGGGGATGTGTAGATCAAGTGTTTACATTGAAGCATATATGTGAGCAGTATTTAGATAAAGGTAGGGAAGTTTTCATTGCATTTATGGATTTAGAAAAGGCATATGATAAAGTGGATAGGGGAGCAATGTGGCACATGTTGCAAGTGTACGGAATAGGTAGTAAGTTACTAAATGCTGTAAAGAGTTTTTATGAGGATAGTGAGGCTCAGGTTAGGGTGTGTAGAAGAGAGGGAGATTACTTCCCGGTAAAAGTAGGACTTAGACAGGTATGTGTAATGTCACCAAGGTTGTTTAATATATTTATAGGTAGGGTTGTAAAAGAAGTAAATGCTAGGGTGTTGGGGAGAAGGGTGGGATTAAATTATGGGGAATCAAATACAAAATGGGAGTTAACACAGTTACTTTTTGCTGATGATACTGTGCTTATGGGAGATTCTAAAGAAAAGTTGCAAAGGTTAGTGGAAGAGTTTGGGAAGGTGTGTAAAGGTAGAAAGTTGAAAGTGAACATAGATAAGAGTAAGGTGATGAGGGTATCAAATGATTTAAATAAAGAAAAAATGGATATCACATTGGAGAGAGGGAGTATGGAAGAAGAGAATGTTTTCAGATATTTGCGAGTTGACTTGTCAGCAGATCCCTCCATTTCCTGAAAAACTATTTATTAAATCACAACCAAAGCTTCGCCTTGAAGCCAAACATTATGCCTTAAGCTGTATTGATAACTTAGCCACACAGCACACTCTCTCACAAATTGTTTACGTTGATGGTTCTGTTCACCAATCCAATGGTGCAGCTGGTAGTGCTGCTGTTGTCATACAGAGTGATGGCTCTCTTAAAGAAATTGGGCTTCTACCCTTCAGATAGAAATGTTTGCCATACTCCTTGCACTCAAATGCGTCCATCTAAGGTTGACACTTTAACTGTAACTGATTCTCTGTCATTCATAAATCCTCTCAACTCGTTAAGTATAAATTGTGGCATGCTCGTGTCAGAAGCCAGACACAGGTATGGTAAGACTGTGGACAGTGGAGTCAGAGTACACATGTTGTGAATTCCATCTCACACACATTGGCTAAGTATTTTATCCACAGTGGTATATTACAGACCATTCTGGAGAAATACCCTGACTTTGCTAGCTGTAAATAAAGCATTACCACATATGTGCATGTGTGTATGTGTGTGTGTGTGTGTGTGTGTGTGTGTGTGTGTGTGTGTGTGTGTGTGTGTGTGTGTGTGTGTGTGTGTGTGTGTGTGTGTGTGTTTGTGTGTATGTGTATGAATGTGTGAGTGTGTGTACTCACCTATTTGTACTCACCTATTTGTGGTTGCAGGGGTCGAGTCCTAGCTCCTGGCCCCGCCTCTTCACCGGTTGCTACTAGGCCCTCTCTCTCCCCGCTCCATGAGCTTTATCAAACCTCGTCTTAAAACTGTGTATGGTTCCTGCCTCCACTACGTCATTTTCTAGGCTATTCCACTGCCTTACAACTCTATGACTGAAGAAATACTTCCTACTATCTCTCTGACTCATTTGTGTCTTCAACTTCCAATTGTGGCCTCTTGTTTCTGTGTCCCCTCCCTGGAACATCCTGTCCTTGTCCACCTTGTCTATTCCATGCAGTATTTTATATGTCGTTATCATGTCTCCCCTGACCCTCCTGTCCTCCAGTGTCGTCAGGCCGATTTCCCTTAATCTTTCTTCATAGGACATTCCCCTTAGCTCTGGAACTAACCTTGTCGCAAACCTTTGTACTTTCTCTAGTTTCTTGACGTGCTTTATCAAGTGCGGGTTCCAAACAGGTGCTGCATACTCCAGTATGGGCCTGACATACACGGTGTACAGTGTCTTGAATGATTCCTTACTAAGGTATCGGAATGCTGTTCTCAGGTTTGCCAGGCGCCCATATGCTGCAGCAGTTATCTGATTGATGTGTGCTTCCGGAGACATGCTCGGTGTTTATACTCACCCCAAGATCTTTCTCCTTGAGTGAGGTTTGCAGTCTTTGGCCACCTAGCCTATACTCTGTCTGTGGTCTTCTGTGTCCTTCCCCTATCTTCATGACTTTGCATTTGGCAGGATTAAATTCGAGAAGCCATTTGCTGGACCAGGTGTCCAGTCTGTCCAGGTCTCTTTGAAGTCCTGCCTGGTCCTCATCAGATTTAATTCTCCTTATTAACTTCACATCATTTGCAAACAGGGACACTTCTGAGTCTAACCCTTCCGTCATGTCGTTCACATATACCAAAAATAGCACTGGTCCTAGGACCGACCCCTGTGGGACCCCGCTCGTCACAGGTGCCCACTGTGATGTGTACTCACCTAGTTGTACTCACCTAGTTGAGGTTGCGGGGGTCGAGTCCGAGCTCCTGGCCCCGCCTCTTCACTGATCGCTACTAGGTCACTCTCCCCGAGCCGTGAGCTTTATCATACCTCTGCTTAAAGCTATGTATGGATCCTGCCTCCACTACATCGCTTCCCAAACTATTCCACTTACTGACTACTCTGTGGCTGAAGAAATACTTCCTAACATCCCTGTGATTCATCTGTGTCTTTAGCTTCCAACTGTGTCCCCTTGTTACTGTGTCCAATCTCTGGAACATCCTGTCTTTGTCCACCTTGTCAATTCCCCTCAGTATTTTGTATGTCGTTATCATGTCCCCCCTATCTCTCCTGTCCTCCAGTGTCGTCAGGTTGATTTCCCTTAACCTCTCCTCGTAGGACATACCTCTTAGCTCTGGGACTAGTCTTGTTGCAAACCTTTGCACTTTCTCTAGTTTCTTTACGTGCTTGGCTAGGTGTGGGTTCCAAACTGGTGCCCGCATACTCCAATATGGGCCTAACGTATACGGTGTACAGGGTCCTGAACGATTCCTTATTAAGATGTCGGAATGCTGTTCTGAGGTTTGCTAGGCGCCCATATGCTGCAGCAGTTATTTGGTTGATGTGCGCTTCAGGAGATGTGCCTGGTGTTATACTCACCCCAAGATCTTTTTCCTTGAGTGAGGTTTGTAGTCTCTGACCCCCTAGACTGTACTCCGTCTGCGGCCTTCTTTGCCCTTCCCCAATCTTCATGACTTTGCACTTGGTGGGATTGAACTCCAGGAGCCAATTGCTGGACCAGGTCTGCAGCCTGTCCAGATCCCTTTGTAGTTCTGCCTGGTCTTCGATCGAGTGTATTCTTCTCATCAACTTCACGTCATCTGCAAACAGGGACACCTCAGAGTCTATTCCTTCCGTCATGTCGTTCACAAATATCAGAAACAGCACTGGTCCTAGGACTGACCCCTGCGGGACCCCGCTGGTCACAGGTGCCCACTCTGACACCTCGCCACGTACCATGACTCGCTGCTGTCTTCCTGACAAGTATTCCCTGATCCATTGTAGTGCCTTCCCTGTTATCCCTGCTTGGTCCTCCAGTTTTTGCACCAATCTCTTGTGTGGAACTGTGTCAAACGCCTTCTTGCAGTCCAAGAAAATGCAATCCACCCCCCCCTCTTCTCTTGTCTACTGCTGTCACCATGTCATAGAACTCCAGTAGGTTTGTGACACGGATTTCCCGTCCCTGAAACCATGCTGGCTGCTGTTGATGAGATCATTCCTTTCTAGGTGTTCCACCACTCTTCTCCTGATAATCTTCTCCATGATTTTGCATACTATACATGTCAGTGACACTGGTCTGTAGTTTAGTGCTTCATGTCTGTCTCCTTTTTTAAAGATTGGGACTACATTTGCTGTCTTCCATGCCTCAGGCAATCTCCCTGTTTCGATAGATGTATTGAATATTGTTGTTAGGGGTACACTAGCGCCTCTGCTCCCTCTCTCAATACCCATGGGGAGATGTTATCTGGACCCCATTGCCTTTGAGGTATCTAGCTCACTCAGAAGCCTCTTCACTTCTTCCTCGGTTGTGTGCACTGTGTCCAGCACTTGGTGGTGTGCCCCACCTCTCCGTCTTTCTGGAGTCCCTTCTGTCTCCTCTGTGAACACTTCTTTGAATCTCTTGTTGAGTTCTTCACATACTTCACGGTCATTTCCTGTTGTCTCTCCTCCTTCCTTCCTTAGCCTGATTCCCTTTGGTCCTTGACTGTTGTTTTCCTCCTGATGTGGCTGTACAACAGTTTTCGGGTCAGATTTGGCTTTCGCTGCTATGTCATTTTCATATTGTCTTTGGGCCTCCTTCTTATTGTGCATATTCGTTTCTGGCTCTACGACTGTTCTCCTTATTCTCCTGGGTCCTTTGCCTTCTATATTTCTTCCATTCCCTAGCACACCTGGTTTTTGCCTCCCTGCACCTTTGGGTAAACCATGGGCTCATCCTGGCTTTTTCATTACTCCTGTTACCCTGGGTACAAACCTTTCTCTCAGCCTCCTTGCATTTTGTTGCTACATATTCCATCATCTCATTAACTGGCTTCCCTGCCAGTTCTCTGTTCCACTGAACCCCGTTCAGGTAGTTCCTCATTCCTGTGTAGTCCCCTTTCTTGTAGTTTGGCTTCATTCGTCCTGTCCTTCCTGCTTCTCCCTCCACTTGTAGCTCTACTGTGTATTCGAAGCTTAAAACCACATGGTCACTGGCCCCAAGGGGTCTTTCATATGCGATGTCCTCGATATCTGCACTACTGAAGGTGAATACTAAGTCCAGCCTTGCTGGTTCATCCTCTCCTCTC